TAAAATGTGATTAATTTCATCCCCTGAAGAATGTTATGACTCGCTCTCTGCCTGTGGACTGAAGTGACCGGCACCACAGGTACAAGTGGAGGCTTCTGTATTCCCAGCAGGAAGAAAGCTTGGTTCAGACCCTGTTCCGGCTGCAAGGACGTATCAGTAGCTTTTGCTACACATCTCATTGGAGACATCCCAGGAAGCGCTAAAATGTGATTAATTTCATCCCCTGAAGAATGTTATGACTCGCTCTCTGCCTGTGGACTGAAGTGACCGGCACCACAGGTACAAGTGGAGGCTTCTGTATTCCCAGCAGGAAGAAAGCTTGGTTCAGACCCTGTTCCGGCTGCAAGGACGTATCAGTAGCTTTTGCTACACATCTCATTGGAGACATCCCAGGAAGCGCTAGCAAGTGGGGACTGCCATTGCTGACGATTCAGGGATCCCCCACGTGGGCTCCCAGCCCCGTGGCAAGGGCAGAAGGCTGGCAAGCGAGGCTGTTGACACGTACTCACAATAACGTGTTGTGGTTCACAGGTGCTAGCCCCTGCCTACGAACAACGAAGTTCTGCTGCTGCACGCGCATGTGTGAATGCTGCTTTGCTGGCAGGAGACCTGGGCGTCTAGTCTCAAGGGATTACACCGACTTACTGCGTGACCTTGGCCATGTCACTTCATTTCTCCATGGGACACTTGCCCGACCTGTGGAATGGTGCTTACACCCCCGTACATGCTTGTGTGTTTATGTACTTAGCATGTCCCCACAGCGGTCTCCGATCAGGGCACATCTGAGGAAGTGGCCCACATGCCCGTCTCTGCGTAACGCCTATCAGATGCCCCAGGTTTTCAACTCACGTACTTTTAACTCTGGTTTCATTATGGCTCTGTTTACGAGCGAGCGTTCATCCGCAGTGACTGGACAATCTGATGTAAAGTTGTTCACTGCAGACACAGAGACCCACGTCACCGTCTTCCGGGAATAAATCTGAAATTCGTCCTAGAGAAACAGAAACCAGGAGCCATGCTGAGTTTGCCGGAGGCAGCCCTGCCGTAGGGTTCGAGAGCAGGTGTAATACAGTCCCTCGGAGAATGCAGAGGGCCTGCGTCTCAGCTGCTTTGAGCCCGCAGCTTGCTGTTGGTTTCAATGACAGTCTAAATGGAAGGTGGGATGTTACTTTGAGCTGTCTCTATGGCTTTGTTCACAAGAACAAAAGGTACAGAAGGTTTTATCACGGGGGTGGGGACCCTCCGGCCCAGGGTACGTGGATTCCCTCCACTTCCCATGACCAGCGTGCTAGCAAGTAGGGTCCAAAGGCAAGGGTGCACCTACCGTGGTTCTAAGGAGCGTGACGTCTGCTTCTCCCAAGCTGCAGTGGGTGCAGTTTGCCCACACGTGCCAGGCTGGTTTCCAGTAAAACACGAGCCGGAGAAGCCCGCAGGACAGGACGTACCCAGCGATACACAGGGCTCTCCGGCAGCCCTGGCTCCGGTAGCCAAAGAGCTCCTGTGGAGCCAAGAGAGGGGAAAGGGATAAGAGGCGTTTTCGGTAAAGAGAGGCCGAGAGCAGCACATTGTCCTTTTGGCCCGGCCTCTGCCAGTGCCCCCGGGTCCAGCGGGAATTGCTGGCGTGGTTCATCGCAGCCTGCGGCCACCTCTGTGCAAAGCGCTGCCTGTGTCATGCAGGGGTTTGGCAAGCCGGGAGTTTTGCAGGGGCCCTGGGCGGATAAGCATGGCCCGGAGAACTGGGCGGGGTGTAAAATTCTGCCGGGAGACACGGAGACCTGCATGGACCAATATCAAGTGTTAGGCCTGGAGCCAGCCCGGGACCTCAGCCATGC